TTAACCCAGCATAGCAGGCCCTGGCCGCCCCGGCCCCGGAGTGAGTGGTCCAGAGACCTGACGCGCTAACCTGGCCCGGCCCCGGCCCCGGCCTTTCCCGCCACCTCCATGCTCCCGGCTCCAGTCAGTGCCATCATTCGTTTCGGCCCATTTATTCGGCTCCGGCGAGGGGAGGGGGGAGGCAGAACAATAACAAGGGACCGGAAGAAGACGACTGCCCTCCGCCCCCTGTGCCGCCGCCTCCGACCTCGGCGACCGACCTCCAGATGAGGGGCGGCGGCGGCCTTCACCCGCCTTCACATCCAGCTGCCCCCAGCCTGCGCCCGTGTTGGCCTTCGGCGGCTTTTTCCGACATTTCCCCCCTTATTTTCCTCACCCCTCCTCCTCGTGGCATTTTGTTGTTTCAGCCCGCCGCCTTACAGATTCGACGACCAGGGATCATTATTTAAATCATCAGCGGTCCCCCTCTCCCCCGCGCGGTGCAGCGGCTGGTTCATCCCCCGGCAGGGCCCTGCCTCCCCCGGCCCCGTTTTGCTCCTTGGCCCCCATTTTCACTTTTGGCGGCGCCGTAAACTTAATCATGACAGACCCTCGGCAAACAATTTATTAACGGCACGCCGAGTTTGCGAGGCTGAAACAGCTGTTTGGCCGGAGAGGAACGAGTTAATCATATCGCACGTTCACCGCACTGCGCACGCCCCTCGGCACGCCCCGCCGCGCCGCGCCTCGCCTCGCCTCGCCCCGCCCCGCCCGCGCCGAGCCGCAGGGGGGAGCCAGGCCGCAGTATGCTACAGTAGGTCACCGGGTCTAGCTAAGCCCCGGAGGCCTTTGCTCCAAACCTTCTCGTGTGTGTGTGCGCGTGTGCAAGTTGTATGCTTAAGGGTGTCGAGTAAGATGGAGTTACACTGTGTTTCTCGGGCGTTCCCTACATGCAGTGCAAACGTGAGCCGTGAGCTCTACTGCCGAGCCAAAGGGGGGTGGTGGTAACCGGGGGGAAAGGGGGGGGAGGCTGTGCATGACAAGGGGTGCCCCATGAGGAAATTTTGGGGCGCAAGGGAGATTGGGGGAGTGGAGCGGGCGGGGGTGGGGGAGGGGCCTCTTTTATCATGGCCCACACTCCCGTCATTGAATTAAGGATTAGCTCGCGGAATGCCGACGACGAGTCGGCAGTAGCGTTAGCGCCGCGTCAACCGGGCCCAGAGGCACATATGATCCACGTAGTAAACTGTAACCTGCTGGCCTGGCACAAGATCAAACTTACACCGGAAACGCAAGTATGTGAATATCGCACATTGCATGTGTGTGCATGCTCAGTCGTAGACTTGAGGAAGTAAAAGTGTGAGTTCTCCCTTCCCTTGAAATTCACACACTTGTCCCTCCATGTGCATAAATGACATTCGCGCATCTACAAGTGTGCGAATCACACACTTGCGTTTCCGGTGCAGTCCTGAAACAAGACGAAGGCGTCTTTAAATCAGATTTTTCTCTTATTCGAAAGATATGGTCGGCTTGTTTTGAGAGTAAACTTGATATGATTTCGGCATGTATACTTGAAACAAGAACAAGTTTTTTCTGGCAGAGCATTGCAAAATCGCCTTCCGAGACCGACCGCGCCAGGCCGCGCGGTCTGTCACAGGCCGCCTGCCCAGGCGAGAGGTGAGGAGCGGAGACAGCGGGGGAGCTCCCCTCCTCACCTTCACCTGGCAGGCGGCCTGCGCAGGCCGTGGCGGCCTGGCGCGGTCGGTCTCGGAAAGCGATTTTGCAATGCTCTGTTTTCTGGGCGCGCTTCTCGCCCATACTGAGCCCTCTCCCCTCTCCTATGCATAGCTTTTAAACAGACTGACTTTAGCACAATTTTCATAGATAGCATTATGCACGAGCCTGTGAAAAGCTCATC